TCATATCTATATGTTTACAATTACAAAATAAATTTAATAACGTCTCTCGCTCTCTCTTTCTCTCTCTCTCTCTCTCTCTCTCTCTCTTTCTCTCTCTCATTCTGCAACCGTCTCATAATGCAGATCATCATAAATTATTATTTATTATAATAAACTCTTTTCAGTTAATACGTTTGTAAATATGAAACGTTAATTTTTCTGTTAATTAATAAGAAATCTTATGATTATCACATGAATGTTTACAAAAAATTACATTTTATAGTACATTATTAAGGTACGTACATATGCTTACGTAAGTAACGTTTAGTCAAAAGTCAAATAGAATTGTTACAACGTCAATATTTAAAAAATAATGGAGCATGCACTCTGCAAATAATTTATGTATCATATTTTTAGAAACTTACCCCGTGTAATAAAATTATGCTATTGGAGTATAATTCAGACTCCTAATTGATATTCATATATTAAATATAACGAAAATATAAATCGTAATAGAATGTTTCCGATTGCTGCGATGTTATTCTTCCAAGAAGTCACAACAGACTGATATCATCGGTAACGGGACTACATAATAAATATAAAACCGTTTTGTTTTAATTAAACATGCTACATTAGGAGACGTAATGTTAATCGAGTTTTTTTTCGAAAGAATCGATAACTTTAATGTCGATGGATAGTTTGATACATTTATCAAAATCTTAGATTTATCCTGCTATCGAACTGTTGGCGCATTTCTAATCCCGCAAACACAATAGAGTAGTAAGACATAATATCAGCCATAAGAAATTGGCCAATGATAGTCGATTATTCTTCTCACATTCGAGTGTGATTAATCAATTTCTTAAGGTTTAAGGTATATCCACACAAACTTGCATAGCCGCATAAATGTATGCATAAAGAAAATTATCCAATCACATTTTATGATTTAAATTGTTTCCAACAATTTTCTAAATTTCTCCTAAATGACGCAAATTTTATATATTCATTAATTGTAATGAAGCACATTATTATAGATAGCACTATGATAATTAATATTATCGTAATTAATTCAAAAAGGGATTCATCTTTCTACATTCTTCCTGTAATAACCTATTCGAAATGATTTTGAAAATTGGAAAATGGATGAATTATTATCTTTTACTTAAATTTACTAGAAATCTAGTAGATATAACAACTTATTGTTACACAAAATCCGCGCAAAATGTACACAATATTTTTAACAAAAGATTGACGCATTTTACCTTTTTGGTACTTTTGAATTGTAATCCGGTAATTCAATAAATTTAAATTTGTGCATCGTATGCTTTCGATCCGAAAATAGAGAGTGATATGCAAAGCCATCGACGTGCTATCACTCATGACCATTAAAGAGTACCGGTCTAAACGTAATAATTCGTAATTTCTAAATTATCATATATTTCGACGCCTATTTCGAGCGTGTGATAGTATAATTATATACGAATGGCAGTCGCATGTTCACGGTCGTCAATTATGAGCACTGATCAATTTGCGTTCGTAGATATTTAATTTTCGTGGATCAATGCGACACGCGGAGCGTTTCGTACAACGTGTATCTCGCTTCGAGGTCGCCGAGCGAAGCGAATAGCGAAGTGATGACGTATAGTCAATCACCAGTATCACCACGCCGAGCTTGACGCTCCCCCGTCCCTCGCCGTTTAAAAATCCTACTATTGTATATGAAAAATATTCACGGTTTATTCATTTATTCATATTTTATATGATTTTTACAAACGGGTATCGTCGTACATTTCGCGCTTTGCTTTGTGGCATCTCTGGCACTAGTTTAATCTTATATTACTTTTGCGCTGTTCTTTTTATAAATCTAATTGACAATTATTCGCGTGTGTGAAGTATTTTTGATATTCTAACGGTACATATTATGTCTCAATTTTCGTTATACTTTTAAATAAATTATACTTAAACAAAGGTTGATAATATTCTATATATCCTTAATTTATAAAGATATATACAAATTTCCTTAATATGTATTTTGTACAAACAATTTGCGCTCAATACCGCTTTGGTTAAAAGTATTAAATGTCTTGTTAATCATTATTTTATTTTCCAGCTAAAAATAAATTTAGGACGCTACTGTTGCTGCAAATAATTCTGTGTTTCAAAAATTATTTAAACTCATAAATATATATAATGTCGATCATGGCTCAGTAAAATAACACACACTGTTACGACTTATTCAAAATAAAAAATATATAATAAATTTCAGAAACTTATTTAAAATATAAAATCCTAGGAATCGGTAAAAAACTGATACGACTTATTTAAAATAAAAAATATAAAATAGATTCGAGAAATTTATTTAAAACGTTAAACAAGACATAAGTCAGAAGTGTAGTTATTTAAATAATAAATATTAAATAACTCCTAAATTTTTTATTTAAAATATATACTTTAAGAGCCGGTTATTCCACCTTTTATCACTTTTATAAATATATAAAAATTATCAAACGATTTTTACGTATATTATATGACATCTTTAGAAAGTATTTTTGTATATTATAATTTATAATAAATTTGCTCTCCTTATGAAAATAAATCAGATGCTTCGGATGAAAATAAATTGAAATCGCTGAAATCACTGAAATAAATCTATCAAATTAATAGAGATTTCAACGATTTCGGCGATTTATTTCTATCAGGAGCACCGAAAAAAATGGATATTGTTGTGTAGTTTACGTCCACTTCTTCTGAGGGCAGTAGTGCGCGGTGTTACAGGAAAAAGTAATTCATGTCCTCTCTCAGGTTTTTCTCTAGTTACAGGCTATACAGCTGCCCAGGCTGCCCTCTAAAAAAAAAGAAGTCTTCAGCGCCACCTGGTGTGTCACATAAAGTCGCACTATTGCAAGTGGAGATCTCATGATTTACGTTTTGCCGCCAAATTATTACGCTTTGTAGAACTCTGTTGAATTGAGAACGAGAAGAACGAGAAATTTAATCTTGCATAGACTTGTCAGCTTGTATCCATTTGATTACGCTTATACTGGGAGATAACACGTGTTTGCAAGATGACATGTATGTATACCCGAGAAATTAACACACTACTATTGAATTCTTTCGATGATATGTCTTGTCGTATCTTTAATATTTTCAATAAAACAAATGTATATTTAGATTTTCTTTTTGGAAGTAACACAAATGGTGTATATTAGTTATATAAAGCAGATCCAATGGTTGCTTTCTAACAGAAGACAAACGATACATTAATTGTGTTCAGCAGAAAAAATAGCTTCGTAACTATTGTAAAATATTAATATGTTGCCAATGTTAAACAAGCGTGATTAATTCACTGTTACACTATGTCTTTTGCTGGAAAACATCCTTTATATAAAATTTTTTTATTCTAGCGGTTGAAATAAGAGATTGGACACCTGAATACTATATCTCAAATGAGTCGAACTGTCAGAAGATTTTAGAAAATCAGAATGTACTGACAAAAATACCTTTATTAAACAATACTCAATTGCATGACATCAAAGACAAAGAGTTGGTGAGATTCCGAGGGATGATTCAGGATATGTACAATCCTGAGTATTATTTGAAGCAATACGAAGTGAAGAACACAAACAATGGGGAATGTGACATTAGATGTGGAATGTTCATGGATGCAGCTCAATGTTTGGTAAATTATCTGTTTTGTTTTCCTTCCATACATTCTGTAGAACTATTTTATGTGACTCTGTAGAGATGTTGCATTAGGTCTGTTCTTTTTAGCTAAAGTTTTTGGACTGTTCATCTTTTTTTCTTTTTTCTCAATGTTGGAGAGAAAATGAACCATACAAGAAGTTCAGCTAAAAAAAAAACGCCTATTATCTCTGCTCTCATATGAGCAGTGGATATAAAATTTTTTTCTTTTTTCTCAATGTTGGAGAGAAAATGAACCATACAAGAAGTTCAGCTAAAAAAAAACGCCTATTATCTCTGCTCTCATATGAGCAGTGGATATAAAGCAGAGTCTAAAAAAATATGCAGTTCAGGTGTGGGATGCTTTGAGAACAGCTTATCTCATGTATAATACTGCATACATTATTGCTAGGATGTAAGATTATTCATAGATGTAATAAGAATATGCTGTGCTTTTTTATGAATTGAAGCGCATAGCTTCCTCTGTAAAATAATAAATTGAAAAGAGATTTTGATATAGTTGAAGAAAGATGCTGATATGTTCAATTCTTTCTATCTGATCTAGAAAGTAAGATCAGGAAAGTGCAGTCTACACTTAGTATGTCTACGATATTTTTATACAGTGTAAGTAATTTATTAACTTTTATTTTGGATACAGCCGCACGAAGAAGTTTTGTTATATTCCAAGAATAATCAAACCTCGGAAAGACAAACTTATGTTGTGATCTCTATACCTGGATTAAATGACTGGGCAAAGGAAGAGAGCATGGACACACAGACACCTCGTACAACGATACACAATGACAGTACCAATAAAAGGAATCTAGATGATAACGACTTAGAAGAAATGGACTGCCCGGAACCTGTTACGAAAAAAGAAAAAATCTCTGCAGATAATAATGATGTAAATATGACCGATGTTGAAGGCAGTGCAAAAGTTCAAAGTGTGTTATCAAAAGATCATATATTGAACTTTCCGATTCCAATTGATGGTGGAAAAACTTGTATAGCAAAGGTAAATTATACACACAATGTTTTTAAAAAACAAACTCAATACATATTTCTTTTCAATTGATATTATCATAATGTGTATTCTTTAGATTTATATGGAGACCGTCTTAAAATTGAACCAAGTTATAGATATAATAGGATTTATATCGTTGGATCCATTATTAAGTACAATCCAAAGTTCCGATGATGAGATGAATGAAGCTGAAATACAAACTCATAATCCACCAGCTTCTTTAGTACCTCGATTACACGTAGTAAAAATAATTGAGCTTACAAAATCTAAAATTGTAAATGCTCCAGAAATTTTATCTAAAGCACAGCTCATCAGAGGTGATTTGCACATAATATTGAGTCAGTTGCTATTTGGAGATACTGTAGCTGCAGATTACATGATATGCCACTTGCTTTCTATGGTGTAGGCATTTTATTTTAATACATTTATAGAAATATACATACTTACCTGTATTTGTCATGTTATACCTTATGAAATTTTCAGGTATCTGAGAAAAGAATTATTTAGTCTCTTTTCATTTCCGTTGAATATAACGAATTTTCCAGCGAATGAACATAAAACTTTTCCGAAGGAGTTTTATAACTTTTTAAAATTATTTGTAAAGAAAAGCCACTTTTTGAAAATTACTTTGGAGAATTTGAATGAACTAGCTTTAATTCCAAAGTAAGTTTGTTTTACTGAATGCCTGTATGTCAGTGAATAAATTTGCCATTGTTTATTTTTAGGAAGGACTACGAATGTAATAGACTGACAAGTGGTATTCTCCAACTAAGCGATAATACACACCTTGTATTAGACGAGACAGGCTTAAACCCTGGTACACTTACTGCAACTGGCAAGGAGAATTATAAAGCTCTCTCCGATTTACTTATGTTTCAAAAACTAAAATACGACTTCCAATTTTATACAATAGAATACGAAACGGACATTCCGATTCTAATCTTTTCTGATGTAAAATCGTTTGTTCCTGTAAGTATTTATTTACAGCATAAAAAATATGCTTTTTCTATGAATATTAATTAAATGTTTATTTATAGTGTCCTACGCAAATTGTTTTAAATGTTGATGCAGAAACGGAAAATTTATATAGTCAAGTAACTGAAGCTGCACATCAGTATTTGAAAGACGATAATCGATTAGTTAATATTCGGCAATACATAGAAACTTTGAAGCACACAAGGCCCTTCAATCTTACCGAAGAAATGACAAAAGTATATTATATTTTGATTTTCGATACTAGCATCTACATTCACTCAGTTTATTTTAATTCAATATATAATTTCTTTATTTTATTCAGATCATTCAAAAAGATTTTGTGAAGTTGCTCAGAGAACACAGGAATCATATAACTAAGGACGATCTAAACGCAATGGTGATTTTCGCCAAAATTATGGCCTTATCTTGCGGACAAACAACGTTAGATATAGACTGCTGGAAGAACGTTGTGCAGTTAGAAACGGAAAGAATGAGTAGGCTGCCACAGCGCAGAAGGTAATCGTCGAACCCAGGAAAGAATCATAATACTGAGTGTACATCATATGATACTAATACAAATATTTATTTCCCATGAATTTTTCATAAATATCTCATTAGTAATGTAAAAATTATATACTATTTTATATATATATACATTTTTATATTGTTAATTACTTTTTATATTAAATAGGACGGAAGTTTAAGATTCAATTTGTATTTACACAGGCAAAGATCACATGGTTATACCTTGGCAAATAAACATTTACAATTAAGTATCATGCGCTTTAGAATGTTTAACATGTACATCGGCTATAATCCATTTCGTAAATTCTAAAGTTTAGACGTACGTCTTCCTTTATTTAAGTCGAAATGGAACTAGCATGTATATTAATCGTCTATTCATTTCTTTGAAAATATTTCCCAGTAGAAATATTCCCAAAAATTGTATTCTTTCCATATTTTAAATGTGAAACGATCGTGTACATGTACATATTTACGTGGTGCATGTATGTGCAGAAATTTATTGAACATTGGAAGCTTAAAGCATTTGGAGTAACTGACGTATTTGTAGATTTATTTCTGCTATAGATTTATTTCTACATGAACAAATATTATGATAAATACGTTTAATGATTCTCTAAATTACAATCTAGCTTGTTTCACGATTGTCATACTTTTCTTTGAAGACTAATTAAGGAGAGCCCCTTGATTTAAACATCTCTGTCTTCATCTATTCAATATATTTCAATACATACATCTTCAAAAATTAATAAACTTATTACTTCGCGCAGGAATACATTTCCATGCTTTAATAATTATGCTATCTTTTTCTAAACTGGAATAGTCTATTGTAAATTATTTATGTCCGAAAATTAGGAAAGAGTAAAATCTATTAAGTATTACTTATATATTTTGGAGCTTTCGTGATTCAAACATAACTAATTTTGCAACTAGATTATTCTCTAACATAATTATTTGTATTTACTCACTTCTTTTTCGATATCAAAGAAAATAAGTAATGTAAAAACATTAAGTACAGCAAAGTCTGCATGGCAAAATTTCGGAAGTTACATGTTTGGAAATATCTTGTATCATACTTATAACACTTCCTAAATAGCAAAGTGACGTTTTATTTTTTAATAAATCGCCCAACTTTGTATGTTCTGATTTATTTTTTAATAACATCTTATTAACATTAAAGATAATTAAGATGTTATTTGACATTACCTTGCTACTTGGATTGTTCTTTTACTACATTTATTATTCTCAGTTTTTCTTCCCTCTAATGTCTAAACGCATTGTTATCTCATTTTGGATGCTGCAGTTAGAAACCATATTCCTGTGCCATCTTATGCACGCGTGTGTCCTGTTTCGTCGAGATACGCATTGTCAAGGACTCTCTCAACAGCGCTCATATCTTTAGTCCTGCTGAGCCTTTCTTCACGTTCCCTTTGGACACGTTCTAGTCCTTTTCTAGCGGCTTGAGCATACCTCTTGGAAAGCGCGACTTCTCCCTTTGCTCCTGGAATGTGGCCTGTATAACCGACAATTGGCGGTCTTTCTGGGGAGACATGATAATCTGTAATGATAATAATGCATCAGTTTTTGTAACTTGATGCTTTGCTTTCAGTTTCAATAGAGAACTTGAATTTTTTATTGTAATCAGAACATTTTTGCTGCGAAAATTTTTATTTATGTATCAAGTTTTTTAAGATAAACGTTCGTTAATTTCTTATTATGTACATTTAGTATCTTTTTAATTTTATTTTTATATTTTAGTATTTTGAAATAAACGATTAAACAATTGTATTGGAATAACATATCTGTTGCATTGCTATATTAAATCTGAATAATAAATAATGCGAGTATGAAGTACCATAGGTCCTTCTGTCTTTGTCATGACCGTGATCGATCTCAATGTCCACATTGTCGGTTCTCGCTCGGGACAGAAGATTTCTCGGATCTGTCCGCTCGGCATGAGCCCTCATCGCATCTCGTTGCGCTCTCAGTTTCATTTGTGCTTCGTGCCATTCTTTGGCACCAGCTTCCACAGCTCTCATAAAGGATAGACCAAACCTATTGTTGAAGCCAGGAATATATCCTGTGATAAATCAGAGAATAACGTCAAATATAAATTCCTTCATGGAGGAATACATTGTATAAGATATAAATGCGTTGATTTTTTCTATTTTCATATTAATATCAAGATGAGAAAAAATACATTTCTTAGAGTCGGTTGCTCCACTCCTTTCGAATAAATGAGTAAGCTGAAATTTATCGAAAGAGAACAATCCAGTCTTAAAAGAATTTTTGTAAGTTAATTTTGCAAATTAATTCTTAAGAGAGACTTCATATAGTAATATACATTCAATTAGAGAGAAAAAAAATATAAACATTATTCATACTTTGAAAAAATACATGATAAAATTTGAAGTATGAATTTTATCATATATACATAATTTTTTTAAACAGTTTTTGCACAGATTAATTTTATTAATAGCTTCTTATGCAGATTAATTTTATAGTGTTATCAAAGTATTATAAAAAACAATTGCAACTTTATTAATCCTAGGATCGAAATTGGAAACAATTATTCGAATATAGATAACGCTATATTTTTTTTAATAAATAAAAAAAATGAATATAGATAACACTATATTTTTTTTAATAAATAAAGAAAATGAAATTAAATTCTCCATATTTTTATAATAATTTAATCGCTCTTTACTAATAACAGTAATAATATTCACGCAAAATAATTATTTCTGTAATCATGTATCTTTGCGGCACGTTTTGAATTTTCCGCCTAATCAGAGAACGAATCGCCAGAACAAATAAGATACCAAAAAGATTTTATGTATCGATTACTTAATAATATACACATTTATTAATAATACACGGAATTTTTACGCGTTCAATATACTGCCTTTCGATTCTAGATTTGATTTTCAGATTCATCTCAATTAGTCATTAATTGACTTGCATCATATCGTACTGAAGTTGGCAACACTTTCAAATTTTCAGTAGGAAAATGTCGCGCGGTTGCAGACGTGGGATGGATTGACGAATTGTGCAGTGTAGTGTCGTGTCGTGACACAGTGAAATATTTAATTAGTGATTATGGTTGTAATTAACCCGGTCTTTGTTAACTATGTGGCGTAAAATCGGCGTATGTCATATCGTTGACGTCTTGAGACGCGTAGTTTGCGAGATTTCTTCGATCGAAATTATCGGAATCGGCGATCGGGCGACAGTTGCAAATGGCGTTTGCGGCGTCCTACGTGGATACATTCATTTTCTCAGTCGACACTAACTAATTAAAGCAACGTAACGTTTATGTTGTAATTTTGCACTCAATAATAAATATAACATAACAATTAGTCACCATTGTTGCGTGTGAAACGATGAGTTAGTTTATGTTTTATTCTTGCATTAGATTTAACTGTAAAAAAAATTTTGCATTTTCTTTCTCACTTTAGCCAAATATTAAGTATATATCTCTTTCACTTAAAATTCCAACAGCGCATATATTGATTTTGCTATAGAAAACGAACAGTTCATACAACACAAATAATTCCTGTAATTATTCTGCATATAAAAGTATTAAGGTAAAGATATAAAAAAAATTAATTTACGAGTTAATTTTTTTGGCACATAATTAACATAAAATACTAAATATTCGTAAACAATTAATTTTTATAT